TGTGAAAACGTTGCATCAGTTTAAACAAGGGTGTGGTTCAATATGTCCATTTTCAGTGGTGAAACTAGTTCAGGAAGTTCCTGTCCCCACACCGCATGTTGGGGAGCACAGTTCCACAGCCAGTTGTTTCCACAGCGCGCAGTTCCACAACCAGTTTCACTGGCACACCTGAAGAGGTGTTTTGTGGCAGTGCAGGGAGACGCATTGACTGGAATTTCTTCCTAAATCCACTGAAAATGTGGTGCTGCCCCCTCATACTGTTTCAACAGATGTAGTTAAACTACTGCAAATCCCTTCACAGAAACATTTCAGAATTTGAGACTCAAGGGGCCTCCATGGCCACACTGGCAGGTTTGCCTGCTCTCATTCTTGCCCTGAGCTGGGACCCTCTCTCACCCTGATGAATAAACAGATCTAAACTCCTGGAATTAAATACAAATTTTGTATGCAGAAAACCAAAACTTGAATGTATATGTATCTTGCTAAAGCAGCGCAATGCCTTACAGCTGCTACTGACACTTGCCATGGCTTATTTTAGTTATGTTTATGGGCTCTTTGGAGACTTCTATGCAAGAGTAGATCTGCAGATCTACTCCAAACATGGGCATCATCGCATGTAACACTGCTGGAGGAACGCAGTCCCAGTCAGACAGCTTCCCTCCTGGGACAGCCTGGAACAGTATTGCAACCAGGTCAGCTAGTACGAGTAGTTTCAGTAACTAGCAGAGGAATTCTAGCCCTGTGTTTTTATCTGCAGTGACTCCTTTGCTACCAGTAACAGCTACGGCTCTGGATGTGAGAAGAATCAGCTTTGTGGGATTAAATTCTGATGGCTCTGAATGCAATGTCATTGATTTCAGCACGTGGCTGGGCTTACAAGTCAGTGGTGTTTCTTTGCTGCAAGGTAAAGCAGCAGCATTTGGATGTCACACCCAGTTGCAGTATTTCAGGGAACGATTTGGGTATCGGTAGAGAGCTGTATCGTGACTGATGAAAGCAGAGAAAACAGAATTTGGTTAGCAGCAGCAATTATCTTAGATTAAAAAAACACGGTTGGTGGTAACCATTAACACATTCCAGCAAAATGATAGAGCTCTGCCAGTTCTCCCACTCCAGTCGTAAAAAGTTGATATTATGAAAGAAAACATGAGCGGTGATGGGGAAGACTGATACAGATGGGAGATCTGGCACGGGCCAAAGGACTGTGCTGGGAAGGATAACAGAGTTGCAGGTGGTACTGGGGTGCATTGAAGACCCTCCCATAGGGGAATAAAGCAGGGTGGGAGATGCAGAACTCGCAGGAAAAACCTGGAGACAGCGGGATGTGCAAAGTCACAGGTTTGTTCAAAATAAACTGGGAGGAAGGGGGTCGCTGGGTGAGAGGAGGAAGCTTCAGGAACACAGGAGGGGAAATAAATAAGAGGGCACGTAGGTCTGTTGCTGTGGTCGGGGTGGTGGTAAGACAGCTCCTTGGCATAACGGAAGGTGTGAGTAGTTTCAGAAATGTCCTGAAACAGAAAGTGGCAAAAACGGATGGGTGGTGGGAAACCAGAACTAATACAAAAAGGACAGAGAAACAGTTACACTGAGATTAGCAAAGGGGCTGGAACCTAGACAGACAGAAGGAATATCAGAGGGGAGAAGTACAGCAACAGGGTGCTGGGAGGAGCCTCGAGAAGTCATCGTGCCCCAAAGCACCCTAGTACATTCCTGTAGGTAACAACACTGATGTCATGTGGAAGATGACACTTCACGCAAAGACTACACTTAACCAGGCCGGGGATAATGAACAGCCAGGTAGAAGCAACTGGGATGGGAGTACAGAAACGCCAGGAGCCTGGGCAACACAACACAGGAACCTGAATGACTGGTGAATGTTGTCAGACCAGATAGGGAAGGCATGAAAGAAAGAGGGTGGAATGGGAACTGTGACTGGAAAACAGGCACTTTAGGGAACGTGTTACCCGAGAAAAAGAAAAATAAAAGGTAATGGCACTACATTAGCAGCTAGTGGTGAGCAGCTTGCGAAATAAATAAATAAAACACAGGTTAATCAAGAACCCAAAAGGCATAAGGGGAATTAAAAATACTTTTGTGGTACAGCTTAACCTGTGAAAGGGGCTACCATACGTAATAGCAGCTTGCTGTTGCAATAAGCTGGGGAGTCCGATGCTCCTAGATGGGAAGAGACAAGATAGGACGAGACAGTAAGGCATAAGAGGGAAGAAAAAAAGAAATGCATAAGCCAGAACAGAACGAATCACGAGGAAAGGAATACTTACCCACCCAGCAACGGTTCCCTTTTGGGGAAGGGCTGTATCTTGAAAGCCAAGCAGGCACTGGGAAGGAAACCATCTAGAATGGATGATGAAGTTTCACTGAAATAAGACCAGCCAACCAAGCAGGCACTACCTGGCATGCTCCAATGGGGAAGTCACTTCAAAAATGTAATTCCGGGCTTTTTTTACTTAAGTATGAAGTTTTATTGAGAAGAAGTTGCACTAAACTAAGACCTGAAAGGGAATCTGTGCAAAGAAATTCTCTGTACCATCGAATCCCTCTACTCCAGACTGGGCAAAAAAGCCAACGCGCAACTCCCT